AGATGCTGGACAGACGCAGAAGCAGCCACGGCTCTTGCCCTGAGATTTTATGATCATTGAGCTTTACAGCCCTGCAAATAGCGAGCGTGTGATGGCAAATGATCGGCACCACCAGCCCTGTCAGGGAAGCTGCAGTTATGAGCTCACGAGCTGATTTACTAAGGGGGATTGACCAGAATAACTCCCGCAGTACGAGCCATTTGGCCATATTTCATGGCAGAAATGCTAATTCTGGCCATTCACGCCCGCACTTGGCAACAGGGCTGCAGGAGCCGAGCGGCAAATGCCAGCGTCCCGCAGGTTGTAGAATAGAAAGGGCCAGCTGAGAAGTCACCAGGAGGACTCAGGACAGCTCAGGCCCCGGTCGTGTCCCTCAGTGCGGTGACAATCTGCTGTGCAAAAGGGGCCCTTAACCCCAGTACCGAGGTGGCCCCAGCCAGGAAGTGTCACTGCAAAATTCCCTGGGGGAAAGGACCATGGGGAGGGGGGGAGAGTGGAGGGGGGGAAAACCACTGAGTCAGTGATGTGCAAATGTTTGATAAGGAGGCACCAAGTTCAACAGCTGTGGGGGGAAATTATCTGCATGTTCAATAGAGGCACAACATTTCCGTCAGGTTTCTGACTGATAAAATACGATGTTTTGATACAATCTGAATTACGTATCTTGGAATAGCTCATTCGGGCAAAAATCCGACACCTCTGCTTCTTGCCTCAGCTCAGCAGAAAAGCCGCACACAAAATGCTAGCATTTCCCAGTGGTGGAAATTCTGCTTTTTGGCCAGTCTCAGTATCAATAGAAAAGAGCGGTTCAGAAAAGCCCAAGGAAACTTGTCCAGATGAGATTTATACCCCTTGTTCTGGCTTGCTTTGCTAACATAGCAGCAGAGGGATGGCTGGCTAGTGCAAAGCTCTGGTAGCCACATCCAGGCAACCCTGCCCTGGGGGCTGTGGCGTTCCCTCGGCAGCAGAGGAGTCCCAGGCAGCCTCCCTGCCAGCACCCGGCTGCTTACCGGCCCGCAAGCGGCTGCAGCCTGCGCCAAGCGGAGCCGGAGCAGACACAAGGGTGTTTCCCCTTAATCATCCAGTCTTGGTCCTTCGAGCGAGGGATGGGCTAAGGAGGCCAAAGTCTGAATCTGAAAAATTTAAACCATATGACATTTGGATCCATGCTCAGTTTGAAGTGAGCTAAGTAAGGGGGAGGTAGGGAGCAGAAATGGTTGCAGCTTCTGCCCTTCTCTCAAAAACTGCTCCCCCTGCGATTCTCTTCACCACAGAGGTCTGACGCTTGGGAACATCTGCTTCAGCCACCCAAAGGAGCCGCCGCGGCATCACAAGTAGTGCTCCGTGGGGACCACAGCCACGAGGACCCTCTCCCACACAGACCCCAGCAGCCACGGTCCAGCCGTCCACTACAGCATGGGGCCACCCAGCACACACCGATGTGCAAGAGCTGCCCTCAGGGAGCCAGAGGGACAAAACCCTACAAGCCCCATACCAGCAGCACGGCTCCAGCACAGCTCCTGCCTGTGCTGCCAGAGCGGAGGCACAAATAACAGCAGGAAGCGTCTGGAACTGGTTCCCTAAGTGGAGGGAGCGGCTTTGCTGTGTGAGAGCTCACGGGTGCCTGTTGTACTCTGGACTTTGCCTTCTGACGAGGTCAATTTGCAAGCTTGGGATGGCTTTTGCAGAAGCAGTGGCCAAAGGGAAGGCAGTAGGAACTAGCCTTGGAGCCAGGGACACCTGGGTTGTAGCCTCAGCTTGGGCAAAATATAAGATGTCTCAGGCCAGAGGTGATGTCTTCCATGGCCCCAGTCCACGAACTGGGACTGGTTTAACTTGACGCTTACAGGGATGGCACCTCAGACGCTCGGACAGCCTTCTGGCAAGAAACAAGGGGATCTCCAGAGTGCTGTTTTCACAAATAAGGAATACTGCATTTAGCATGTAAATAGGACTGCATGGTGCTAGGGACACAGGTCCTTGTCTAGAACTGAAGACAGGAAGAATCAACCCCCTCCACCCACAGCATCCCCCATTTGGGAGCTGAGTTCTTCAAGCGCGACGAGAGACATCAGCCAGGCAACAGCTGTTTTTAAAAAGCAAAGATGTGATCCAAAGCAGGTTTACCTTGTACCTACTAGCCAAAAATGCTGGACTCGAGCCACGGAGGAACCTGTCAGCCTCTCTGCTCCAACCACCCGCTCTGCGTCGCTGTGGTCCTCGGTGGGACTGCGGTTTCCTGGTGTGTGGCTGCTCATGACTCCAGCAAAGCAGGGTGCAAGGAGCATCAAAGCCACACCGGCACCTCCAGGCACTAAATGAAACCAAGGAAGCTGGGAGGAGGGAAGCGAGCACTGTGAGAGGTTGGGGATTACACAAGACAAATCTGTGTGTGCTGGTGAGGAGCAAGATCTGAACGGGTGGTGTGGAGCATGCACAGCACTGTAGCGCTCACTTATCACAAGAGCTCGGAAGCGTAATATTTGATCATTTTAACTCCTCATGGCTCAGGGGTAGGCTGATGTGGATGGCACAGCTTCCTGGGTATACCTGGGGCTCCCAAGGTGGAGAGCTGTCCTTCCCCAGCAGTTGCATCTGCTGGTTGAAAAAATCATCAGGGAAGAGAAACATGCTGATGGGGCTGATCACAAGGGGACATCCATCCTGGATAGTTCTCTGCGTATTCTTTTTCTGTATCAGTCCTTGTAACAGCAGGTGATATCCACAGTCTGTCACTGACAGGTAAAATCTGGCTGCAAGGACAGAAGAATTGCAACAGACATGAGGCTACAGGGTGGAAGCAACAAGAGGGGGCATTGGGGTGAATCACAGTGGGTGAATTGGGAAGAATCAACATGAAATGGGAAAATCAGCTGAATTTCAAGGGAGAGTCAGGAAGATAAGTTCATTGCTCTGCAATTGCCAAGCAAGAGACATTTAGACCAGCTACTGCACACTGTCCTGAGTACCAAAAGCCAGAAAACGCCCCCACAAACAACCGCTCAAAAGCCACAAACTACCAGAGGAGAAGAGCAGGACCTTGGACCTGCAGTAACTGCCAATTTAAGGAGAAATACAAACATTGATTACAGCCCATGTCTCTTGCCAGAGAGAAAGAGTATGCTCCCCAACTGAATCATCCCTTCTGGTTGGATGAGGAAGAGGAGGAGGGTCAGATCCCTTCCCAGTGCCAAAGCTGGCAATCAACCTAATCATCAAACAAGCAGCCATGCTCTGTGCTCCAGCACTCTCCATTCATCATCCCATTTTCTCGCTGTAGTCAGTCTCTGATGCCTCATCAGATTAATAAACAAACAACTAAATCAATACAGTCATCTCGATCCCCGCAGGCCACAGACTGTGAACAACGTAACTTCTGCCTGAAAGTAGTATCAGTGTGTAAGAGAGGCTCCCAAGAGAGAAGTCCGGCACCCCAGCTCTCAGCTGTCCAAAAATTCACACACATACACAGGGGAACAGTTCAGCAGTGCCCTGGGAAACAGAGATACTGAGCAGGTCCTCCCCTCCTACAGCTTCCTCATTTTCTCCTCGAGCACCGTCACATGCAGCCTTGACCCTCCCTGAAATCCAAATGCTGAAGGAATATTTTCACATTCTTCATGACAGGCTGGGAAATAATCATAGCTTATTGACTCGACAAGGGGGCTGCTCTGCAAACATCAGTCCTCTTCAAAGATGGCCTCAGGCTCTTCAGTTCCTGTCAGTAGGGAACCTCACCAGAATCTCTCTGAAGCTGAGGGAAGTGTGTGTATGAGAATGAAAGTAAATTAGGTCTGAACAAGATTAACAGGGATTTAATTGAACTATGTGAACTGGAACTCCAGTCACGAGCTACTTATTAGCCTGTCTCAAGGGATTGTGCTGCTTGCACTGGGGGAGCACAAGGATGCATTGTGAGCGTGGGACACCTCAAGGGGACGGCGATGGCCACAGCTCCAGATGAGCGTGGCCAGAGAGGCAGAGCTGCTTGAACATGATCAAAAACGAAGCAAGGAATTCTCAACTCCCAGCCGTGTTTCTTCAGAGCTGAGGCTTGGCCTGTTGAAGGAAAGGAATTTCATAACAAATATTCGTAACAAACCCAGCTCTCAGCCCAGCTCCTGGCCTTTGGGTGGCAGAGCAAGGTGCTGTTCACAGAGGTGCTGCCTACTGGCTGGTATCTGGAGGCAGACCTTTGAAAAACTCCCCTTCAGTAAAAGTGAGTTAATGAGGTCTTCAGCTCTCTTTGGGATGTTAATTGCTAAACGGCCTGGAGAAAAGTGCTTGGGAATTAGAGGAGTCACCACACCAGTCCACTAGTTTTGGTTTTCTGGTGAGGGAACCAACAGACGCATGCCAGAGCTTGGCTACCACGCCTGTCTTAACCAAGCCAAGAAGAGCCACCAGACAGCTCCACGCTCCAGCCCTGCAAACCTGAGCTACAATCACACACTGAGGGGCTACTGAAAATTCCTATCACCAGTCTAGTGAATCCCCATCTAATCCTCTGCTCATATTATTAACAAATGATGCTTTTATTATTGCTACCTTCATGGGGGCTCTTGGTGCCAAAATCTCTCATGAGAGGCAAATTAATTTAGTCATCATGCTATTTCCTCCTTCCTTCTAGGAAGGTGAAGCTGTACTGGGAGATGGTTTGCTACTTCCAAGTCAAACACAGATACGCACATGCCTGACAGTATTAACTAACCAATTTCTCAGATTAAAGGATCTGAAAGGCTTTCCCTTAATGGATCATTTTTATGAATAGGTTATTTATATCCCTGTGTTCCTATAGTCTTAAGAGTTCTGGCAACTTTCACAATGAATGCATGGAAAGAGGCAGCACAACTTCAAAAAGAGATTTCTTTTTAAACAAAGAGATTCCGATTGTATTTATTACATGTTTCAAGACAAACTAAAATACATGGGATATTGGTAATCTCTAAAAACATACTGTAAATTCAGCTAATGAGCATTCAAACAGGTATAAAGCTGCTAGGAACAGACTGGGAAATTTATCTTAATCCCTCTTCCCCCCAACAAAAACAACCTGCAATATCCAATATCATTAGCAGTGAGTAAGCCAGCCAGCAAATAGCTAGATGTAGATGTAGTAGCCTGCTATTTCAGGTAACAACCACACAGTGCTCATTGCTAACTGGTTCTTAGCTGTAGAAGTGCTCCTGTATTTCAGGTAATGTGTGTGCTACTCTTTCAACAGTTGCAATTCCGTTAAAGCATTAAACCCCCCTTTTAGGTAACCTGCAGAAAGCCAGAGTTGTTAGATAAAACCACCACCTTCTTCATTTATTAAAATGGAAGAAGTGATCTGCAGTACCTATCCAGGGCAGTGGCAATGCTTTTCTTTCCCCTGCAGATCACAGACAGGAACACAGGTCCGAAATGGAAACTCATAGCACAATATTGTTCTTTGTTATTTGCGTGGGAAGTTTTTGTAATGTTTCCTTGTACTGAGAGCTTAAAGCAATGTTAAAGTGTCTGTGTCTCCCACGCTTTGTTCTGTCCTCCTAGTATTGCCTTTATGTAGCTAAAAAAAAAAAAAAAGAAGAAAATGCTGAATTTAAAGCAGAGCTCTAAGATGGATTTTAAGAAGTGCAACTTGGTGTCAGCACTCTGGTTAAGAGAAGCAGAGAGCCTGGAGCAGGGAAGCACTGAGAGGTTAGAATCAAACTGGTACTGGGATCCATCGGTCTCACCCGCCTAAAGCAAGAGTGAGGAGAGAACATGGCCGTTCTCAGCACTGATGGTTTCTGTAAACGTGTTCTTCAACTCCTCTTAAAGAACACGCAGCACAACACTGCTACCATATCTGGGCTCATGAGGCATTTGTGAATTGAGGATGGGAGTCTATGTATGCAAAAAGGATCGCAGACTTGCAGCCCTGCCAAAGAGAACCCTTTCCTTCAAAGCTGCTCTGAATGCTGGGTGCGTCTAAAAGAGCAGGTTCTCCTCCCATTGACTCATTCGTGATCAAACAAACCAAGATGTGAGCTGGCATCAGGAAGCTCGAGCTGCCCTACAGAGACTCTGTGGCTACGTCACCACCTATCACTTTCCAGTCCTGTCTAGCCATATTTAAATCTAATACTAGATTGTCCCTGGGCCTGGAAAGCCAGAGCCTGAAGGAACATAGTGTATATGTCTCTTGCCATATAGTCATGCTACACAGCCAGCTTGCCATCCCTTGGATCTTAAAATACCACATCTCCTCAGGCTGAGATTGTATTTAACTTCAGGAAGAATTCAGCAAGAGGAGATGCAGCAAACTATAGCAGGTAAGGCTGGGAGGGAGTTTGCAAATGCAACAAACCCCAGCTGTGTTGAAATGGAGCACACGGTTAGGACGTGGCTAGCTGACAGGAGGGTTTATCAACAGTACAGCGAGGCAGTGCTGTTCGATACATGACCAACGCAGCACTCTGAGACTCCCGCCTCAGAGCAGCTTTTCTCCAACGTGCAGTAATTGGTCTTCCCAAGTTTCCAAGAGCACCCCATTAGCACAGGCATTAAATTCCGTACCTTCCAGAATCACATCATTCCCTAATTCTTGTAGTCATTGCAGTCCCCACCATAGCCTCAATTCCCTGAAATGCACCTGCTTTCAAGGGTGGGAATGGAAAGGAAAAGTGCATGGGTGGGGAGTAAGAAAGAGGTAGCGACGCTGGGGAAATGAAAGCTTTCATCTACAGCAGTCTGGAATCTGATGAGTTATTACCTAAAGAATTAAAGAATATGACAAAGACATTATTATTAAACCATAAAATGCAGCTATGTATTTCAGACTAGACGACAATAGAGATGAATACAAAGCCGTGTAGTGTGGTATCCTTGATCCATTTGATCCCTCTGCCTTCAAAAAATACAACACAAACCAGTATCCAAAGTAGCAAACCCATGCTCCACCTTCCACAGGGACTTTACTACAAATCCTAGCCAGCATGGAGGAGCTAGGACAACAGCCCTCTCTACCCATCAGAAATGACAGAAGTCACTTTAATGGTGACTGACACATTAATGATGTCAAATGAAGTCCTGGACATGTGAATTCCTCTTTGCTTGTAAGAAAACTATGGCAGAACCCCACCCCTTTCACTCTAGTAAGTTCCTTCTCCCTTGTCCCCAAAAGGTAAAGCATGGCAATGCTAGAAAACCATTTAATATAGCTAGTTGCCTTTGATGTCATCTCCGAGGAAGCATTACAGGTGATTATTTTGTCTTTTGAGGCTCATCGGTCATGCCTTTATCGTTTCTTTTTGGTTTCCTTCTTGGGTTTCTTGCTTATCTGTGGAGCAGTTGCCTTTGGCTTCTTCACTGTCTCTGAATTCTTAGGCTCAAAACTGTCCGAGTCCTACAAGAATCAATTAAGAAACAGTCAGTAACTTTTTTTTACAATTTGCTGACAGCTGACTTTAGGAATTTGAGCATAAGCCAAAGGAAGCAAGTGCTGGGTATCTCTGTTGGAACACATCTATATCAAACTGAGTCCACATTTAATGAGACTTGAGCAGCACCATCTCTGCTTCTTCCGCATGTGCTTTTTGATGAGTGTGAGTTTATGCACAGAAACAGCTTGTTACCAGAGAAGCCGTTAAAAGCTTAAGTGTCTAAAACAGGCTTTGGAGAAGAAAAACAAAACCAACTTTAAAGGCAAGAAGAAAATCAACACTAAGTGAAAACTATTCAAATTAGGAAAAGGAGAAGATACCATATAATCATCAGTGTGCATGGAAACATTCAGCAGGTATTTCTGCCAAATGTTAATCGTTATCATGTGCAAGACAAAAAATATTCACCAAAACAGTAGTAAGAATGTAAAGTTCAGAGCCTCTAAACCAAGTCCCAAATCCAGGGAGGGAATTGCAGGCAAAGCTTTCTTCACCTGGACTAGCAAGGAATGCTTAGATATGCTGCTTGTTTCCTTCAGGGGAGATGACAGATAATATTTCAGCCATGGGAAATAAAGTCTAGTTATCTTGTAAAAACACAAGGGAACAGCGCCAGTCTCATCTGAGAAAGCGCACACATGCAGATTGCCTCCTTTCATTAAATGCATTTGAGTATAAATATTGCTTTAGCATCTTGGTTTCTATCAGTCAGAGTGTGCCAACTGGAAAAGGACACACAAAAAATGGCTGAGCAAGACGTGCTAGTTTCAAGCTTCCAAGACAGCGCTCCAGATAATGGAGGGGGAGGCGAGCATCTGACAGTATCCTTTTAATCAAGGAGCTTGGTTCAAACGTCTCTCAAGTTACTGGGCTATTACAGTTCACATCTGTGTGGCTTTCCAAGGAAGGAGATTTGGCTGGCTTTCCAAAGGCTTTAATCGGTGCATGGGGAGCTGGCAGGCTCTGGAGAAATGGAGCAACATGCAGTTATTAGTCAGGGATGCAGTGTGCTGTTGCCGTAAAGTGAACACTGCTGCCTTCTAATGTTCAAACCAAGGTAGACTTCAAAGCCTGAAGCCTCCAAGACAGAGAGGTTCCTCAGTATCCTACCCAGACTCAAGCATCATTCCTGAGATCTGGAGGGGTAGCTGCTAGTGTTTACGGTCTTGTAAATTACTCATAAGGACAGTAAATCAAGAGGACAGTATACATATGGAGAAAATAAAAAGTAGAGCATGTTAACATCAAAGCATGCTTGTGAACTTAAACAGTAACAGGACCTTGAGCTTTATTGTTTTAATTGGGGGCCTGGTCTTCAGTTTCCTACTTCAAAATAAAGCTCTCGCTCTCTTCAGCTTTCAAGAATCAGGCTACTCAATTTCTCAAAAGTTTATCAGGGGAAAGAAACCATGGACTCTGACAGATGGGTGCTGGTGGCTGCAGAATAACGGTGCAAGAGTTGCAATGCTACTGCATTGTGACTGGCAGCCACCTGCTTCATCTCCCTGCTGGGAGCTGCAGCTCCTGCTGCAGGACTAGCGGGAGGGAGCATGCACCCATGCTGGGGCAGCATCACTAATCCAGTACGTCAACACAACTTCACAGCAGACCAGCAGTTAAAGGTGAAAGAGTTGGGTCATGAACTGTATACTTCCCACTGTACCTCACCCTCAGGCATTCCCTTCCCCACATAGGCTGAAAATTTCCATGCTTCCTCTGCACAAGGGGGAACAAACATGGCAATAAAGATAGCCTGAAAACAAAACTTCCCATGCTGAGTTGTTAGTGACAATATAGCACACACATTTAGACAAAATCCGTATCAAACCACCAAACTTGCAGCCTGATCACCAACACCGAAATATCTGTCCTCAGCAGCACAGGCATTACCACGCACATGCAGCTGTCTTATCAGAAAAGCCAGGTAGATGCAGGACGTCCCACTGTGGCCCACTCTAGAGGAATCAGTGTCCTGTAGCTCCTCTCAACCTTTCACTTTAACATTCTCCTGTACGAACTGCATCAAAGGACCCTCCTCTTGCTGCACGGGACTGGGTGCCGGTACTGAAAACTGCCTTCCTCACGTTAGAATATACTAGAAATTTCACCTGTATCTTGTTTCCAAAAATCGCACACAAACTAGAGCCTAAAGTCACTTCCTGAAAGGCAGGTCCTGCAAAGGGGACACCCTGCCTGGCAGTTAACAGAGCAAATCAGCAGTAGGATGACAATATGGGGTTGGGACTAAAGCCTTCACAGTGCACTGAGGAACAGCATGTACATTTAGCACACCTTGCCAGTGCTTCAGGTCACTTTTTTCACTGATATTCAGAGAGACCCTGGCTCAGGTATTTGTTCCTGACTTTCTGATCTGAGGGTAAATCATAAGACAAAAGCTGGAGGTGGAAAAGCTAGAAGGAAGGAAAGAGAATGAACAATGAAACTGTCATCAATCCCAGGGGCAGACCACTGTGTCTCCATTAGCTACCACAAGTCCCCTCCCATCCTATTTTCTCTGACTCTGCCCATCTATATCAATATTAAAGAGCACTGCTTACTGTCTTATGGGACTTTGAAACTGGCAGGATTATGGCTAGCACACAGATAAGCTGAAAAATGGCTCCGAAGAAAAGTCCGTAGCGTAGCACATTCTCCATGAATGTGGGCTCAGGGATTTCAGGTGGGGAGAAATCCAACTCGGCAGCCATAGTGAGTGCACCCTTCTTCTCCTCTAATGCTCTCAAGAATACTGGTTACTACAAGGGGGAAAAAATAAAGAGCAATTATTTGCATCATGCTTTCTGGTATTCCCTTTCTATTATCAAAAAATGACAGACTACCTCATGCAGGTTTTCTGAAGACACCCTTGACCTACAGACCCAATAACAAAGAGGGAAATTAAACTTGCATTTTATTTGGATGCTTTTCTTTCACCACCTGCCTAAGAAAATAGTCTTCAAATACTAGTATTAGTGCATTTGCAGGTGAGGGCAAGAGAAACAAAATAAGAACAATATTCACAAAACAATAACGGAAAAGCTTAATAAGCAAGAATACACTTTTCCCTGAAGCTGATCATGCATGCAAGGGGACTATTATTCATTTTTACTTACATTGTATATGTGGTCACAGCCTTGTGGTTTTAGATGGTGTACAAAACCAACTGCTAAAATAAACCAGACAGAAGGTAGATCTGTTGAAGAGAGAGGAACAAGTTATGTTTTTAAAGTTAAGCATGGCTTTAGTAGCTGGTTACACTAAGGCCTATATACCTTGCAATGGTCACAGAGGTAGTTTGTGGCAGAGTTAAATATTGATCTCCTGGGTTCCAAGCTAGTTTCTCAGCCACAAGACCATCCCTTCTTCCTTCCTTTGTCTTTTGCTAATGGAGCTGTCAATTTATTCTATGAATGACTAATGGCTTTCTACAATAATGGAGAACTCTCCTGCCAGAATTGCTGGAGTACACCACAAAGTCCCAAAAGGGAAATTCAATTAGTCTGAGATGCCATCAGAACTCAGTTGTGATTACTGTCTTACTCCGTTTTCCTGACCTGGATGATCCTGGTGTGTACTTACTGAATCAGCACCTCTTATTGATACCTACAATTCTCTGTATTACTAAAGCTTGGGTGTGAGATTGTGCTGCAGGCACGTTTCAGTTGAATGGTAATAATCTGCCTCCTAGAAATTATCTCCAAAGCAGGCTCTATACTTCTCAGGCTAGGAGGAGATTTCTACAATCTGCAGATGTGACCCAGTTCAGAAAGATGGTAAACTTAGAGTATAATTTGAGTAAAGTTATAGTTGATAAATTTGAGAATCAATCAACAACTTAATGCCATTGCGTAAGAGGCAAACGTCATTTGGGGACATACGAAAAGGAGTGGTATAAATTACAAGAAATAATTATTTTGTTTTAATTCAGCTGAAGTATGGGATATTATTCTGAATTTTAAAAGACAGGAAAAAATTCCCAACTGCACAGACTGCCAGCCGGTGGAATACAGGGACTGTGGAGTCCCTATTACTGGTAATTCAGAAGAGCAGATCAGATAAACATTTGCCTGGGATGGGGTGTGAGTATATACAATCCTGCCTTTGAATCAGGAGGTAAGAATAGGTGACCTCTCGCAGTCCCTTCCAGGTCTGTACTTCAGTGAAAAAATTTTTTCAAATTCTGATTAAAATTCAATAAGCAAGGGCTGCATGGGACCCGTACATGAAGTCAGAATACATGCTGGGACACTCAGGCTCAGCAAGTCCCAACACAGACCCAAAGGCTGCACTGGACATGCAACAGTGTCAACAAAGCATGCATAAAAGTGGCTCATCCCTAACTGCTTTTAACTTTTAAAACACCGTCTCCTCCAATCCACTAAGGCAGCAGTTCCTAAGCAAGAAACAGAATCATGGGAAACTTCACCCCTGAGTTGTATTTTATCTTGACTTTATTTATTGGGATATCTTTTGAAAACGTTATTCTTGCCCACTCCCTTCCTCAAACAGGGCAGGAAGGGATGTTGCTTCATTCCTCGCCCAGAATTTTCTCAGGACAAACTCCTACTGATAATCCTGACTCATACACCTGAAACACAACATACAGAAATAAACCAGAAAAGGAAACCGATACAATGAGCACAAAAAAATCTCCATCCTCATCTTCCACAAGTCTCCCCTCCTTTCCCCTTTTCCATTTCACCTCCCTTGAGGGTAGCAGTAATTTTCTAACAAAACCCAGGTGACACGACCAGCATCGAGAGCTCTCACACAAGCTGGTAGCAGCTGCCACTACCATTTTAAGCACTAACCCATGAAATATGCTCAGAGAAGACCTGACATCATGGTCCAACTAGTCATAGTAGAGTGTCCTTGCTTGCACAGTAGCCACAGCAGGCAACCCACATTCGGACCATTAGTTTTCCTGCTACAAGTGGAGCTAAACTAATATTAGCAAAATTCTCCAATTTAAAAAAAAAACCTCCTCTGGTTAACACAATGCCCAAACCTGCACACGCAAGGAGGCTAAACCTTACACAAACAAGCAGGCCGAAGTTGAACACTGGGGAACCAGGGCACAGCGTCAGGCACGCCCCCTTCCACACTGAACACAAAACTTGCAAAGTGAGTTTTCTCACTGAGAGCACTACCTCCTTGCACATTGCCTTGCAGCTAATCCAACACATCCCTGGAGGATAATGGAGTCTTCCTCCCTGTTCCTGAGAAGCTAACAGTTTCACCACCTCTTCCTTAGCTAACATCTCTTCTTCTCCACAGGTTATCAACCACCTTTTTCCTCAGACCACCTCACCTATCAACATGGTTACACTTAAAGTAATTGTTCTTAAATTGCACTTAAAGATCAGTACTCCTATTTCAGACCCTGAGAGGAAGCTTCCCCCCCACCCCTCCAGCTTACTCATTTAGTTTAAGAGCAGCTACCACCTCTCCCCACAAGCCTGGCCATCTCATTGGTACATAACAGCAGAAATAGGTCACAAACAGTTGCACTGCACTACAGGAATTGATTTTGACTATTTTTTTAAAAGTATTCAGTCTTGCCTCTATTAGGGTTTTACGGCAAGCTAGCTATCCCCCCCCGCAAAGGATTCGGTCCTGTAGCAAAGCCAGAGTTGTACCACTGAACCAGTGAGGGCCTACTCAGGGCTGCAGGCTCACACTTTTGCTCAGCGACACCTCTGGAAGATGATGCGGCTGCCCCCCTGGGTGCAGATCAGGCCCTATGATAAATAACCATGTGTTTTCAGGGCCATGGCCATAAACTAGCCATCTCAATAGAGCCAGGACAGACTCAAACCTTTCTTTTTGCTGTCCTGTGTTTCCCAGCTGGCATCTTCACGACTATATAAATGATTAGTGTAGGACAAAGCCACAGGAGCAGTTCAAGTAATGTATATTAGCTTCCTCTTGGGGTGGGAATAAGGAGCAACAGTATCGGTGCAGAACACAAAAGCTTCCATCAAAGGGTGATGCAAAAAAACCCTCGAGCTGCATTTCTGAAATGACTTTGTAGGTGTTGGGATGGAGACTGGCCAATTCATATTGACTTCGGGGGGGCTGGCGTGTGCTTAACACCGCTGAAAACATGACAATTAATGAGGCCGAGGAGCCCGTCTGTAGGCTGACGGGCCAGGCAGCCGTGTTCGCCGGCCGTGCCCGGGGGCTGTAAGGAGAAGCAGCTGTGCAGCCTCAGAGCGGGGGACAGCCAGAGTTCCTCCTCCCTTCTCGAGAGAACAGCTCTGTGCCGTTTCTTCCCTCAAGCAGCGGTGGCCAGCCCTGGCTGCAGCAGGAGGAACAGGCCGCCCCGGAGCCAGCGAGGCTCCCCTGCCCCCGAGGCTCTCCCACCCGCTTCCCGGGGGAGGGAGGGGGGGCGGCGCCATGCTGAGGCCACCGCTCCACCCTTC